AGGGTGCAGTGCAGTCCTCACGTTATAATTTCTGGTGCAGCTCTTGCAGTTATAATAAAGTACATTCATGTTTGGGTGAGGCTTTCAGTATTCGGTTCATGATATGTTTGATTTGGAACCCTATTTTGAATGATTCCTCTTTTAATTAAGCATCATTCCAACATGGCTCTTTGAGCATCCGTGTGAGCAACAGATTCTTGAAGCTGTGTTCTTAATCTGAAAAGCAGTTCCCTTGTGCCCCATTAATCCTATTTCATCAAACAGTTGTGTTTGTTGTTTTAGAAAAGACTGGTTTTGAACAGCTCCACGGTACACACAGACAGTGACAATGAAGAATCAACCGTTTCGACCGTTGCTTTTATTTTCAGATATGTCTCGAACTTGGTGTATATTACAATATACAATGTACTCAATATTTTCTCTCATTTCTAAAGTAAAACATCCAATCTGTACCTTGGATGATTAGTGAGAAATACAGTTTGTAGTACAGGCAGGCTATCTTTTTTTATCACATATTGGCCATTCAGTATTGTTCATATCTGAGATGATGGAGGTTCTCTGACTGTGGCTGGTGAATATGTTTGTTTAATAACATTTGTTTATCAGATGGCATTTTCATGTCTGGAAACAATTGTAAACAAGTTCCAAACATAGGACAAGATCGGTCCTTATCCACTCATCTGTGGGTAGGATGTGACATAACAAAATCCAATTCCATTGTTGAAAGTAACAGCCTTTTAATAAATATGGGCTAACACACCAGCACATGCTTGCACACTTGTCTTCCTCAGAGTATCTTGACACACAGTGAACTCAAACCAACATGTATGTTGAATGAACACAGTACATACACAGACCTATCAGACCACTAGGGGGACAAAAGAACAGCTCCGAATCCTAAGTATACATCACAATTCTTAATGTGTCTCTACATTAACATATTGCAACAAAATGGGAGGCACCAAAAGCACCAATAAGAAGTAGCCCAACCTTCTCCCTAATTCTGTATTTCCCATAGGAAAGGGGAACGGTCAAGTTCTTCATTTAGACCTGGGCAAGTTGTAGCTTTGAAGCTGTAAGCACGACTTTACAAGAGCTATTTGACTCTGTCACCCCCTCTGATGTCCAAACTAAGGCCTCTGTGACTATAACTCTCAAGGTACAGCCATGCTGGGCTGCTCGATAATGCCTGCTCATGGGTTAAATGCTCAAACATATTTTGTATCACAATTTCAGGTGATCTCACTGTGGGTTTTACCTCCAAATGTAATGGTTTAGATAATCTGTCCTAACAGCTTGTTTACAACCTGTCTGGTCACTTGTGCTTTTGCAAATTAGGTAATCTGACCTGGTGTCCAAATCCAAAAATCCCAGCATCACTTCATGTCACTTGGTTTTGGAAATCTGATTAGCGTGTTTACATCACTACATACTACAGCTTCCTCCCACAGCCCAAAGACATGCATCTTAGGTTGACTAGCAACTCTAAATTTCCCATAGGAGTGAGTGTGGTTGTTTGTCTACAAGTCAGCCCTGTGACAGACTGGAGACCTGTCCAGGGTGGACCCCGCTTCTCGCCCAGTGCCAGCTGGGATTGGCTCCAGGATGGATTGAATTACATCACTACAGTGCAAAATGAAATAGGGTGGGTAAGACAAGCTAGTGTTCCTGTCGTGCCATGTCTCAAAATATGACTTAAAGTCTTATTAATTTAGTTTATATTGTGCTCACAGGGTGCACTTTCATGAATGAAAATAGAAACACAATAAACCTAAAGCCACTTTGTGTTATTAGGATTGGATCATTACATAAGCTGGGTGTAGTAAGCCTAACTACAGTAGTGAAGCTGAGATGAAGGTTAAAAAAAGGATTTGAAGATTTCAGTCTGGATGGCAAATGGTTAAAACATTCAGAAAGGTTGTAATACTTTCATTTGATGTCTTTTAAGGTTGGTCATTTGACTCAAATGATAAACTGCCAGAGAACTCACAAGGTGCTACACTTTGCCTTTAGATAATCCGCACAAAATGCTCAGAAACTGCCATGTCTACGCATGCTCAAATGTTTCTAATCCATGTTAACCAGTTTGAACACAATTCATTTGAATGCAATTAATTAAAATTCATAACTCATAGGAATCAATGTTTCTATGTCATTGAGTAATGTTTATACTGAAACCAATAACATATATCAACTAACAATTCAATACATTTAAGCACATAAATATATTCCAGCCTAGTAATGTGGAATATATATTAAAAAATCAGTAACTCAATTTTGCATTAGTTTTACTAATGTGAGCCACAAGTTAGCTTTCACTTGGTGTGGCCTTCTTACTTTAGCCGTTTAGCTAGCTGTCTTTCTGTAGCAGAGTGCAGTAAGTGTGATGAAGAGGCCCACAGCACACAGGTCACCAAGCCAATGCAGTAAATGCATCTGAGGAACTAATGCAAAGCCAGAATGCAGTGAGTACACAGTCAGGATGCCAATATGGCACCATGGCTCAGGTTTTATTGTTGTACTGACAAAAAAAAAAGTGTTCCTGGAAATTACCCGTTTTATATAGCATAGCCTACAGGTTATAACTGAATTTTGACAACCTGATTGCTATGTTTTACCTGTCGTCTGTTCACTGGACAAATAATTATGGTTCCATGGGTGGTTTGCTGTGCTTCATGTGAATTTGGGAGGGACAGGGTAGGCTAAATACCACTTAAATGATAGTGCAGTATGGTGGTGGTGGTGTCCAATAGGGAACCAACAAATAATTTTTACTATGGGACCCCCAGCAGGTCAAACCTGCCATATCTACTGGATTTGGTGAAGTGTTCCCAGATTTTAGCAATTATGTCAGATGGCCAAAACTATGAAAATGAGACCCCAGTTGTTATAAATGTTTCTTCAGTGCTATTGCTAATGCTGAACAATAGTCATTATAGGATTTAAAGATGGTAAAAATTCAGCCAAGATATCAGCAGCTTCCATCTGCAAATACTGGAAAGGCAGTATATAACAAATTGGTGTCTCATAACACATAGTACACTGATATGTTTGCATAGATATGCAAGTATATGATATTAAATAAGTGACATTATGCCCCAGCACAGTCAAGGCTTGCAGATGGATTTGTAACATGCAGTAGGTGAACCTTGAAACAAGTTAATTAGAGCTCTAAATATGTACAGCCTGACTCTAATTACACTCTGTGCAGTGACAAATCATCATTTACTCCACAAACCCATTAACTCTTGAGGATCCAATAACACATGTTGGCTAGCTTTCAGATGCACACAGGCCCTCTGACACCAACCAAAGCTAATGAAACAATTCAGGATTTACACTGCAAACTTGTTCATAACACAAACATTCACACACACACCATACGTCCAACTCTCCAGACGGACCTCACCTCCCACGTATATTACTTTGGCAGTGATGGAACAACAGCTTCTATCCCGAGAGAGGAACAATACAACGGAAGAAATAGTAAGAGCGTTTGTCTCTCAGATTAAAACACTAAATATACCAAGATGTACAAGACATTTTGTTCTTTGTTTCCGTCTGTCTTCAATGCCTGCCTGCCACCTTCGATCCAACAAGCTTTTATTGTCTCTGAAGTTCGGCAATATTGCCACGGCAACAAAAGAAAATAGATACCAACATTTCTCCCTTATGAGCTAGAGATGGAAACCTGCAGAGACTCAGTTTACGTGCTTATGCAGATCTTTCTAACAAAATTTAACAGTATAAAACATATCAGTGAGTAGCAGGAGTTTGTGTGGCTGTCTATTGCACTTCTTTTGATTCTTTTCTAATTTAGCCACTGTGTAAACACAATTATGTTTTAACAGGAATCAAAGTAGTACACATAAAAATGCATAGGGTGTCGGCTTTAATAATATCAAAATCAATCACTGTGCATGTGTGTGGCGGGGGCGGTGTAACAGTGGCTGCCACTGCCTAATCCTCAGGTCACGACAACTTAATACATTAAACCTGAAATGGATTTCTGTTCTTGTCTAGTAACAGGCCTTAGTCGTCAGGCTAAATGAAAGAGAGGATGTAGGAGGTGGAGTTCAGTTTTGTACATTTCTGTTTCTATCTTACTTAATGATGAACACATATGCAATTTATTTTAAGTTGGCATGTTGTTTTTAGAGTCCTGGTCACATCAGAAACAGGCACAATGACATTTGTACATCCTTGTACATCAGCTCAATTTGGAGGCACATTGACTATACTGGCAGATATATATGTATATATGGTACCAAAAACTCATGGTATGACAAAAGGTCCATGATGCAAAATTGAAGAAAGAAGAAAATGCCCTTTACTAAATAATAAACCAGTGTTTTGTGTATGATTTTCCTTTTAACCTAAAGTGCTCCTGATTTCCTTCTTTATTCAAATAAAAGTAGCCAGCCATGACCTAAAGATGTGCAAAAACCTGGCCCGACTTGTCACTGGCACCGAATGACTAAACTGTGTACAATTGCCAAACAAACCACAATGCCACAGTCAGTAGATGTCCTTTTATGAAATAAAACAAATATATTATTGCAGCAGCTCTATCTTGTAAACAAAACAAGTCACACTCACAGTACAATATCAGTGTTTTTAGTAACCCCCCCCCCCCCAGGCACGTTTAATTTTTCACATTTGATGGCCGTGCCAACCAGTGGTCAGGTGTGTCTCACTGTCTCAACAGCTGAAGCAGGTATCCCTCGACCACACACACACACACATACATATACATATACATAGACAATGCTAAAAAGGCACTATTGTGGTCCTTCTAGCCTGAGAAGAAATAGCTGAGGTAAACACAGTCTCTCTGAACTCTATCTCTTCTTCTGCCTCTTTATCAGTCCTCTCAAAGTTTTCTGTTCCCGGGGATTATTACCTAAATGAACTAGATACACTGTAAGTGCAACTCATCTCAATAACAGTTGCCCTCAAACAGCCAGATGAGACGTTATTAAACTTGAAATGTCTCCTACCTATAGCCATGAAGTCCTCGTGGTCCCAGGCCTGCAGCTGGGTTAAGGGGCCACTGTACAGCAACAATCCATCCACCACGTCCGTGATGAACTCTAGCGACACATGGCTCTCAAAGCAAGGCATCATGGGAGGAAACCAGGCATAACCGTTGCCATGGAAACTGTGCTTGTTCTGCTGGCACTCAGGGCCTTCGAACTGAGCTGGGCATTGGCACCTTAGGGAGAAGAGGAAATTAAGAACCAAAATTACAAGAATTAGTGAATGCAATAAATCGACGTCTTTGAGGGGTTTTTTTTTTTTTGTTGACATTTCGATTCGTTTTTTTGGTTCCAGAAAAGACCCCTCTGTAAGCTGAAAACACTATAGTGGTACTCAACTCCCTGCCCCCTTTTGAACCACTTTGTGTTTTAGTCTTTCAACTTTTTCCTACTACATGACTCTCTAAGTCTAGTTGTTTTCTTCTCTCAGACAGCCTTCCCCTTTGGCTATCCTTCTCTCACAAAGTCTGTTTCACTGATGTTGATGTTCTCATTAGGATCAGAACCACAGGGAGAATCATTGCACCACATTCCCTGCATCTCATTTGTCCTGTTGCTCCCTGTCAAAACTTCATTTCTCACCCTCAACCTTCACATTTTATTATTGAGTACAAAATCACTTTTCTTTTGTCCATATGAGCCATTTACAGTACCTCACCTATTCATCTCATACTCTTTAGTGTATGTCCAGATTTTCAGGACAGGGGGGTAGGGGGGTGGGGGGTGTTTTATGCTATGTTCGACCTAAGTCTGATTTTAAATAAACAAAACAAGAAGAAACAGGAAATTTCAACTGAAATAATATTTCTGAATTATAAATGCTGCCTTGTGGGTCCAGTGAAGAAAGCGATAGTAAAGTGAGAGCAGGACTGATGAAGATGACTGATAGAAACATTAGCATTTCTGCACTGATGTACTGTAAACAGGAGAACTAACTGCCCAAGGCCACAACACTGCGATGGCTTTTAAGAAAAGTGAAAATGTAAAAACTGCAATTTTAGAATGTCTAATTAATACATGATAGGTAAATTATTATCGTTATCTTAAGAGTAATTTGACAGACAATCTTTTAGTGTAGTCTCTGTATTACAGCTTACTGTATCATGGGAGGACATACACCATGTCATTTACAGTTACTTCCTGGCTGATCCTGTCTCCATGATGGGGGAGTTGATGATTATGAATAATTAATGTAAAGTTCCTCCTGCTGTGTCACATGCATAAAAATGTGCATAGCCCCTTTATAAACCTGAAGATGCACATACTGTTCCTGCTGCTGTGATGGCCATAAGTGTTGAATGAACTTAAAGAATATAATCCTTGCACTTTTATAAAGATTTAGAGCATATGGAAAGAGACAAAACCCAACCTACAATGTTTGCTCAACAGAACTGTGCGGAGGAAGCTTAGTTAATAGTTTGTGTAGACAAATTATCAATACCTCTTGGGAACTATTGAATACTGTACAGCACATATCAAAGAGTATCACAGTATCAAAGATTTTTCTCTGTGATGTTTGCTTAAGTGTAAGCTAAAATAGAGCACACACCGTTTACAAGTGCTTGTCTTTATAACCACTACAAATCCATGTACCACCACCTTAACTTGTGATTACCAAGAATCAATTTTAAAAAAGGACTGAATGGAGTCCTACATTGGAAACATCCAACCATGTTGTGTCAAATCACCAGCCATCTAAGCAGACAAAAAAAAAAAAAAACATATCCAAGAGGTATATTTAACCTGGAAATGTAGAGTATGGTTTTTTATCAACAGCAAAGTGTTTTGAGGTAGATCTATCTTCATGGCTCAAATCATTCCCTCTTATTTATCTGATTCGCAATACACTTCTTTTAATTTTCTTTTCATACCTTTCATCCTTCTATTTAGTAGGTCTGTATGGATCTGATGAGAAAGCCTTGCATGCTCTTGGGGAAAAAAATTCCCCTCACTCAATCCACCTGTTGTTAGCAATTATGGAATATACAAATTGCACACAGAGCCTCTCTCCCAAATATACACACAAATATGCAGCTCAGAGAAACAAGGTATTTCTCCAGGGTAATTCATCTGCTAATAATAAGTGAGTTTTTCCATTGGTTTATGTTATTCACACTTCAGTTGCCTCTCAAAATATAAAGTTTTAGCCCTGGAAATCTTGCACAACCACACAAAGATTTATGTTTTTGCAAAATGCCTACATGCACACACATCTCACTGGTGTTCTGTAGAGAGCTCATTTCTCATCCAAAGGTTCCTTCATTTTCGTGCCTCTGCCGACATCCAGGTTTGAAAGAAGCCACACACAGTCAGAAATTACATAGCTCGCATACAATACATGTTGCTTATGCAAATAAAACAGGGACATGTCACCTTGAGATGCAGAATTACAATAGCAGCAAACCTGTTAGGAAAACGTTAATGTAACATGTAAATTCAGGAACAGAGACCAAGAACCACATGAATGTGTGTGTCTGTAAGCTTTGTATGTATAGCCTGTGCATAAGTGTGTTTTGTAAGGTACAGGAGTGAACGATGGTGAAGAGGCCATCTAATATTTGCCATATATCAAGCTAAAATTTCAGCCTTTCTCACTTTATGTGTAAGGAAATGTAAATAATGATCCTGCACATTTTCATGATTCTGGCCAGGGCTTCCACTGGCAGCGGTTCTCTGACATTGCTATTAGTAGCTATTGTTGACCATATTAAATACAAGTAAAGAGTTGTAACCCTTATCAGCTCACACAGTCTGATGGAATTCACCAAACTGGGATTATGCAGTTACAGTATCTAAGTTCCAGCAGTGTTTTACTAGCTGTTTCTACAAAATGTTAAAAAGTTTCAAGAGCCCCACCACTTTATTTATCAGCAGTACTGGAGAGTAAGATGTTATTTGGTAACATGTTCCAGAAATGTGCTTGCTTGTTCTCAGTAAAAAGTAGCATGAGTGATTACAATGTGACATCCAGCAATTAAAGAGCATTGCAGTTATTATTCCAACAAATGCTTTGGTGCCTCCACATTTTGGGTGTAAGTTTGTTAACTGATGGAGGGTTGATATTAGTTTAGTCTCTCTGCAGTCAGTGGACATACTGGTGCCAAGGTGTTTAGTGTACTTGACAAATTGTCAGTATTTGACGCTCTGGGATGACAACATGTTGGCAAAACACACCCAACTGGATTCCACACTGGATCTGAACACCGGTTTTCTGTGCCTCCATACTAGATCACCAAATGTCCTCTTTTGCTTGTGTCGTAATAACCACTGATGCTCAAGGTCAGGATTTAGCAAAACCTAGTATTCTGAATCTGATGACAATGGTTTGTATGTTTGCCTGTGTTGCAGCCCACTGTCATTTAGTTTTTAGCATTACACTCCATGGGCATTGCTAGACTTGAAGCTTTACTGGGGCACAGTCATTGTTCAGGTAGTGTAGCTATCACTCATGGAAACTTTACTTTCACAGCGTTTTCATACATTATCTTACCTGCTCGTCGCGCGACGTACGCTGATTGGCATTTGAAACGTGCGCGCGGTCGGTATACACGGGCACGCCGCGCGGGAATATAGTTTCCACGCGCAGCTGCAGGATCGTTTTTGCAGCGTTATTGCAGCACGTTTTTGTTTTTATTGTGTTTCTATTACATTCGTCAATTGGTTTGTTGACTGTCTTGCATTTAGTTTCTATGAAGAATGATCTAATAAAAACCCTTATGGAATGTATTTACTGGGGCACGTGCCCCAGTACAAGTGGTCTAGGGACGCCGATGTTACACTCAATAATACATAGGAACACGTTCCTGCCTCTAAATTTTAATGTTATTTAGTCATGAAAAACTATGTTTCAGAGAAATACTTTCACTCAGTTCACACAGACCCATAATTCATGTGTGATTAGGAGAATAAAGAACCATCCATGGCTGTTTTTTCATTTTAGCAATGTCATCCTAAATCTTTGAGTGCAAGACGATCTGACACATGGTTGTATTCATAATGGCCAAGCCCTCAAATCCTCTTAAGGCAGCTTTGTTTTGCTCATTCCCTGTCTGCTGGGAATTTTGTTGTTAATGTCAGAGCTGTAATCCCACCCCCAGCCCATAACCCCCTCACTCCCCAAATCTCATTATTAATCCCAGTGCCTCGATTATCTGCATGTTCTTTCTTCAGTCTCAGGCCGTAATCTGTTTATGTATGCTTGTATGTGTTGGGGTCTGGTCATATCTGAAGAGAAAACTATCCTACAGCAATTCTGTCTATATTAGCTCTTATCTTTGTCTACACTCATTTTTTCTCCCTTCACTTCTCTTCAGATGTGTCTCCTTATAATTCTACTCATCTCTCCTTCCATGTTCCTTCACCTCTTTTCTCTCCCTACTCTGCACTTCTGTTCCCACCTATGTTCGCCCCAAGTCTCCTTTCCCTGATTTTACCCCTGTTTTCTGTTCAGCTTTCTCATTTGTCTCTCATTGTCTTGATCGTGTTTCTCTTCCATTGCCCTGTTCTTGCCTTCATTTCTTCGGTCTCTTCCCCATTCTATTTTCATTTTCTCCATCTCTGACACATTTCCTTGATTTTCTCCCCTTCCGAACCTAGACAATCATACAACAGATGTTACAAAGCTCAGGTACTGTAGTGTGACTGAAAATGTGATAGTCTGGCTTGATAACTTCACCTGCTTTACCTTATTCTATCCCTGCCATCTCTTTGGCTGATACTTCACAAAGAAACATTTTCTACTCTTCCATTCTGGCCCACATTCATTTTTCATAGAATACATGCAGCACATGATATCTCTGAGACAGTAGATGCTGCAATTTGTCATTCTCAGATTGAGGCCATGTTAAGCACAACATTTAACAATTTACATTTGGTAATCAGAATAAGAGTTTTGATTGTTTTTTGCCCCTGGTGGTGATAGGAAATGCCCTTTGCTGCTTATGTACCCGACTGCAATGCTCTTAAGCCTGAAACTATAATATATATTTAGTATGTATAAAAAAAATAATTAATGATGAATTAGCATCATCTAATGTCAACTATGGTAATATATCAGATGCAGGATATTTTACTGTAAAAAGAATGTTTCTACTTTGAAAACTGAAGTACATATTTTTCATTTTGATTTTAAAACTAACTTGTGACTTGGGTCTGTTTTTACACTGTGCTATTAGTA